TCATACCTGCCAACCCTGGACATACTGAAAGAGGGTTATGACCCTCTTTTGAAAATTAAAAAGAGGGTCATAGTGCGCGACGGCTTTTTTCGCAACAAATATAAGAAAAATAGATATTAAATTATAACTTAAATATTTTAATGATGTAAAAGTTACATTCTACATTCATTGAACTGTTCTTCCAGCAGATCTAGCTGATCCTCATCCACAATACCAAATTCAAAGCTGAAAAATAAAAAGATTTGTCAACAACACAACTTATAAAATTAATTCATAATAATATATATGATACTGTGTTTTCACAGGCATTTTTTATGTCAATTGAAATGGTCCCGACAATAAGATGTCACATTCTGCTCATATAAAATACCATTTTGTTTCTGTCAATGAAAATGGTCCTGACAACAAGAAGTTGCACCCTTCTCATATAAAATATCAGTTTTATACGAGTAGGGTTTGAACTCTTATTGTAAGGATCATTTTGATTGACAGAAACAAATCATCAAATGCCTGTGCGTGTTTTTGACTAGAGTGCAGAATGCAGCGTTTGGTCCACGACCACGGGACTTTGTACACTATAACTCATTTTCCTACGACATTTGATATGTGTACAATTATCTTTTCTTTTAGCAATTCGTGTAGTAGAACCTGCAAGTCCCGATAAAAACTTCTTCCTTCAAGAAGACATAACGTTACCTTCAAAATACGATCTATTCTACGTAAATGCAACTCAATTATTCGTTAAAAACCTGACTAATAACTTGTCGTCAAGTTCAGTAACAACGTTCTTTATATAATCATTTGTAAAAACAGTTCTAGTACGTATATAAACAACTCACAATTTACCTGTTGGTGAGAAACGGAAACAGGAAATAGATCGTCTTTCTTGTGAAAAAGGATGGAAAAGTCTAGAGAATTCTGAGTGGCTTTGCTAACTTCTAATATACGAAAAGATTCCGGGTGAAAACGGGTGAAATTGACGAAATCCGGGTCAAAATCGTAACCCGGCGGGTGAAGTTATAAAAGCGGGTGAAGGGCTAAAATCCCGGGTGTAACCCGACGAAATTGGGTCACTTGGCAGGTATGCTGTATAAATATATCAGGTGACCGTTAAGGCCGATGGACCTCTTGTTTGTTCACTCAGACGCATTAGTGCGAAACAAGAGGTCATACAATTGGTACATTTTAAACATGGCGTAACATAATACGATACAGTATGAAGTTGATATTATCCGCCATGTTTTCATGCCTTCCCTTACTTGTAGACAGTATGTTATACAGTTACCTCCCCTTAGTTTCGTTTTGGATTGTAGTGCAATTGCTCCTGGGCATTTCTGCTGACCAATCAGCTCAGTTGGTTAGAACAACATTTTCAGGGTTTGAATCTTTTACACTCAAAGCTTTGGTTGATTAATGAATAGGTTTAATAGAAAAGATAATGGACGCAGGCATTTATATATTTTATTTCATCTTTATTATTTTTTCATAAAAGGGGACAGGGTGTGGTTTTCTTTTCAGAAATAATTTATCAAAGCAATAGCCATGCTGGAAAGATCAGTTTATTATGCATAATTACATTTTTTTGGCAATAATACAGGGTTCCTAAAAGTTTCAGTCGTCATAGTTTCATATTTCTGTTGTTTATGCTGAATGAAAAGTCAGGTAACAGGCATACGACCATGTAATGATAGAGATTGAAGGCCCATTACCACCTCATTATTCCTCGTCACAGATATATATAGCCTCCTACTGCGTAGGTAATTAGGTAACAGGTTTTCTGGTGTGACCTTTGAACTAAATATGAACAAGTAGGCTGCATAAACATGTTTACTTTGAAGAGCTGTAACACTTACATCATGTACCCACTATATAAGAATAATTAATGAATGTTTTTATTAAAGAAAAATAAAAAGTTTGAAGTTTATATAGAACATCTTATTTTAATTCTGACGGAGGAATGAGTTATGTGCAATAATTGAATCACCTTCAAACTTGTTTTAAAGGTACATTCTCAAGTTAGCAGTTACTGGTAAAACAGGACGTGAATATTACTAAATATCAGTTAGTGACCAAATGAAGTTCATATTTACTCGCTCACTGTGAAAGTTTGAATAAACACTGTGAATGAAGGTATTCACAAGTTTTCAGTGTTATACTGTAAGGCATAATGTCTAAGGTATTTCATACTTTTTGTTTGACAATTTTTCTTGCATTATGACACTGAAGTACACTGATTTGGTGTCTTTCTATATAGACACGTAGACTGCTTTCCATCCAATTAAATACACTGTAAAACTTAATGATATTCAATTAAAAGATAAGGGAAAAGCAAGGGAAACATATTTTACGTACACCTGGGCCCGTATTCGTGAAGCAAATCTCATGCTCAAGCATGGATTTCATGCTCAAGCCTTATTCTTGTTCTGGTTATAACTCAATAAATAAATCTTATTTTGTCAATGATTTGGAAAAATTTGGACAGACTTGAAGCCAAATGCTATTTTCGATGTACATGTTTGACTTTTTGATGGTTTGACATGATTGAAGCGAATTACAAGAAAGTTGGTTTGAGCACAGAATCCATATACTTGAGCATGACAACGGTTTCATGAATATGGGCCCAGATGTACAGACACTGTATTATATGGGTGATCACGTCTGCCTGATATGCAGTGTTGTACTATATGGGTGATCACAACTGTTTAGGTGACCCTGTTTTGTGGCAGTGTTTACAGTTTCAGTTCTCTGTAACATGTCGTGTCCACTCTACTTTGTGTCCGTCCGTAGCTGTAATGCGCAGTACAGTATGATTCCATCCCGAATTCCCAGAAGAGGTTGGTACCCTCCGTACGGTGAGGACCACAAACGAGGCTCTAGGTAAAGTCTAAATTGTAACAGCCATGGGGTTCTTTGTCTCATAAATAATTTGTTTAGAAACGTTTTGTTAGACCTTTGTAAAACTGTGTTGAACAGTGACTCAAAAAGGGTTTGTGGTAGCTTTTTAAAAGCTGATTTTGTCTTCAAGTCATTCTGATGGTTTGTTATGATTCTTTACTATGTGAGGACCTTTCAATCCCTGGGTCTGTATTCACGACACTGTTCTCATGCTCAAAACAAGATTTTGTACTCAAGCCCTGTTTCTTGTGCAAAAAGATGAGACTTTGCTCATACACGTATGCAGATTTTTGTGTAAAAGTAATCAGTTTGAGTTCACTGAGGTCCTTTGAGCTTTAGCCCTTGACAGTGATAGCAACACATAATTTGTCATTAGAGCCTGGCTTAGATTTTATACTTATTCTAGTATATGATGATGGGGTGTCGCTGTTTATGTTAAGCACTTTACTGGTGACCATCCAAAAGTATGAGATGGATGTGTCTGTTTATCCAGTCAGGCCTTACATTACTTGGATTATGCCTACTTTAAATGAAATCCAAATACATATGATGGATTAACAATGATTCACAATGTGAAGGAGAATCTATTACCAACTATCCCCTCAAACACTTTACCTGTTACATGATCTAGTGTATGGTAAATCAGCATTTACATAACCAATGGAGTTTTGTTTTGTTTTACAGAAATAAAGTGAACGTGGAAGGAGGGACCCATAAGCAGGTGGTGGATTTAATAAAGTCTGGTGGTGACACACTCACACTTACAGGTATATAGATTTAATAAAGGCTGGTGGTGACACACTCTCACTTACAGGTAAATAGATTTAATAAAGTCTGGTGGTGACACACTCGCACTTACAGGTATATAGATTTAATAAAGTCTGGTGGTGACACAATCGCACTTACAGGTATATATATTTATTAAAGTCTGGAGGTGACACACTCGCACTTACAGGTATATAGATTTAATAAAGTCTGGTGGTGACACACTCACACTTACAGGTAAATAGATTTAATAAAGTCTGGTGGTGACACACTCGCACTTACAGGTATATAGATTTAATAAAGTCTGGTGGTGACACATTCACACTTACAGGTATATAGATTTAATAAAGTCTGGAGGTGACACACTCGCACTTACAGGTATATAGATTTAATAAAGTCTGGAGGTGACACACTCGCACTTACAGGTATATAGATTTAATAAAGTCTGGAGGTGACACACTCACAATTACAGGTAAATAGATTAAATAAAGTCTGGTGGTGACACACTCACACTTACAGGTAAATGGATTTAATAAAGTCTGTTGGTGGCACACTCACACTTACAGGTAAATAGATTTAATAAAGTCTGGTGGTGTCACACTCACACTTACAGGGAAATAGATTTAATAAAGTCTGGTGGTGACACACTCACACTTACAGGTATATAGATTAAATAAAGTCTGGTGGTGACACATTCACACTTACAGGTATATAGATTTAATAAAGTCTGGAGGTGACACACTCGCACTTACAGGTATATAGATTTAATAAAGTCTGGAGGTGACACACTCACACTTACAGGTATATAGATTTAATAAAGTCTGGAGGTGACACACTCGCACTTACAGGTATATAGATTTAATAAAGTCTGGAGGTGACACACTCACAATTACAGGTAAATAGATTAAATAAAGTCTGGTGGTGACACACTCACACTTACAGGTAAAAAGATTTAATAAAGTCTGGTGGTGACACAATCACAATTACAGGTATATACATTAAATAAAGTCTGGTGGTGACACATTCACACTTACAGGTATATAGATTTAATAAAGTCTGGTGGTGACACACTCACACTTACAGGTATATAGATTTAATAAAGTTTTTTTGTACTTTAAGTTTATGGAGTAGTTGTTTCTGGCGAATTATGATAAGTATGATATGTATTATCTGGTAGCCAGTTTGGTATTTATCTTTTTCTACATTTATGACACAGGTGTTGAACCACCTAATTGACTGGTAGCTATCAAATACCATATTATTATTATACCAACGTATTAAAGTGTTATTGGTTTTTTCCTCATAGCATTTTGCTTCTTTAGTTTGAAACATAAAAAGAAAAAAATACAGAATTTCGTGTATTTGAAGATTTCAGTTAAATATTGATGTTTAAATGATTTGAAAATATCGCCATCAAAACAAAAATATTTTAATTAAAGCTATTTTTGGTATGCTTGTTTACTTAAGTGTGTTGTGATTATCTGTTTGTCTGCCAGTGATATCAGTTCCTGAGCAGGTAGCTGAGCGACTGGAACCCAGTGACGACTCGTCAGGCCCCTCCTATATCGACTACTCAGAGCGACGCTCCCTCCCTATATCTATACCAGACTATCAGACAGTGGAAGCCAATGGAGACAAGTTTGTGGTGAGTAGATATACAGTAGGAGAGGGGGTTACTATGTAGATTCTGTCTGATGTAATCCTTATATTGCTGCTGTGATCATGGCAGAAAAATGTCAGTATTGCGCTATGTCAGCACCCGAAAAAACAAAATATAAACTTTTATCTAGGATACCCTTAATACAGTTTATGTATGTTTACGTTTTGATTGGTTAAGAATGAAAAGGAATTACTGTTTGACCTAACAAAGGTGCATGCCCTAATAAGGGTGCCTCCAGCCTTTTTATGGAAAAAAACAGCAGGGTACTTGGTCATGACCAGTCATCTTGAATATTTCAGGGATCAAAGACATTGTCATGACTTGTCTGTCATGATCAGTCTAAAACCTCACACAGGGCTTTCTTACTCTAAAACCTTGGTTTTGAGCGATTTTGAAAGTTAAACCTTAAGGTCACAGTTGGTTTATCACATATAGATCCAGCTTGCAGTATTAACCTCCATACACAGTGCAGTTAGTTTATCACATATATATCCAGCTTGCAGTAATATCCTCCGTACACAGTGCTGTTGGTTTATCACATATAGACACAGCTTGCAGTAATAACCTCTGTACACAGTGCACTTGGTTTATCACATATAGATCCAGCTTGCAGTAACAACCTCCGTACACAGTGCTGTTGGTTTATCACATATAGACCCAGCTTGCAGTAATAACCTCTGTACACAGTGCAGTTGGTTTATCACATATAGATCCAGCTTGCAGTATTAACCTCGATCCGTACACAGTGCAGTTAGTTTATCACTAATAGATCCAGCTTGCAGTATTAACCTTCCGTACACCGTGCAGTTAGTTTATCACATATAGATCCAGCTTGCAGTAATAACCTCTGTACACCGTGCAGTTAGTTTATCACATATAGATCCAGCTTGCAGTAAAACCCTCCGTACACAGTGCAGTTGCAGTTTTCGTGCTCTGACAAAATACATTGTTTCGCTTGTATTGTTAATGATATTGTAAACAAACTATCCCACAGATTTTCACAATTCTTACCTTATTGTACTTATTAGCTCACCGGGTCCAAAGGACCGAGGTGAGCTTATGCCATGCCATGGTGTCCGTCGTCCGTCCGTCCGTCGTCCGTCGTCCGTCGTCTGTCGTCCGTCCGCTGTCCGTCCGTCAACAGTTTCTTTAAACGACTTCTTCTTCTTAACCACTTATTGGAATTTAAATAAATTTGACTGGAAGCATCCCTAGGTGGTGGGAATTCAAAATTGTACAAATGATGGGGCTGACCCCCCAGGGGGCTGAGGGGCGGGGCAATAAGGGGGCAATTTGGCTATATTGCTTTAAGCGACATCTTCTCTGGAACTAAGAGATGGATATCAACCATATTTAACTGGAAGCATCCCTAGGTGTTGTGGATTCAAAATTGTACAAATGGTTGGGCTGACCCCCCAGGGGGCTGAGGGGCGGGGCCAAAAGGGG